AACCCCCCCGCACCCTCCTACACCCCCCATCATTCCCACCACCTCCTCACCCCTTTACTCTGGAAGAACTTCATCATTTCTGCTTGACATGTTAGCTGTTAGCAGGCAAGCTAGCAGCTATAACTTACGTTCTTCTGTTTATTTATCTTTACACTTGATGTACTGTAGCTGTCTGGGTCCCATTCCCAGAGGAACCTCATAGCCCTTATGGCGCCGCCCTGGTGGCAGCCTGAATGAGGGGTTCAATTTATTTATTTATTTATTTATTCCATCCAGAGTGAACCATGTGTACAGGTATAGACGCACACACACACACCAGCACGTACCAGCAGTCAGTGTGTGTGTGTGTGAGTGTGTGTGTGAGTGTGTGATGATTTTGGTGAGAGTTAATACACGGACAAATTACAGGATGAGCTGTAATGAAAAAGTGCAGTGACAGTAGTGGAGGATTAAATACAGAATACTGCAGTACAAATATAGTCATCCAGACACTTTCCTTCCCTCAGATGTTCAGACTGATGTCAGAGCTCTGCAGCCACAGCTAATGACACGTCAGTTCTCCCCTTAAACTCCCAGACAAAAAAAAAAAAAAACTCCTTCAACGCCGTCAACAAATAGATGGAAGACGAAGACGAAGACGTCGTGGAAATGTCCGACATCTGTCCAGAAAAGATGTCAATCTTTATGAAACCCATTCATAGTAAACACACTCTGAATACTCAGAATACTACATGGTGTTTCACACTGTGTATTTACTAGGAATATATCAGTACTCTGAAGTATCGCGATACTGTATCAATCTCCTCCTCAGTCAGTTATTGATTTTTTTCTCACCAATTCCCAGTCCAATATTCCTGGTGTTGGAGTCTGAGACTAGGATCACACTGGGACTACAGTTACACTGGTGGAATAAAACACCTCAATATACACCGTCAGGCCTGTAGTATCGCAATATATCGTATCGTTGCCCCTGTATCGTGATACGTATCGTATCGTCAGATTCACGCCGATACTCAGCCCTAGTATTTGTATTTCTTATATATATGATGTCAGTCTAGTTTGACATTGAATTAAACAGTTTTTCATCCATCCATCCATCCATCCATCCATCCATCCATCCATCCATCCATCCATCCATCCATCCATCCATCCAT